TTTTGTGCGAAAACCCGAGTTCTCTGAACACTCTCTCTATTGTGTTCATGCTCGTTGTTGTACCTTTTAGGGTTAGGCAACTCATCTATTTATATTGGATGAGACCTTCAGCCTTCCCCTCTTGGTGGAGGATTTGAGAATCTTCTTAAGGAAGGAAATCAAGAGTAATAACTCATGATTAGACCTTTCTTTATTGCAGACAATTAACCCAATTGATAAAAGTTTCCTTTAATACCAGAAATCAATCCAATTGATAGAAACTTTCCGTTAGTATGGGCAATTGATCTGATCATGAAAGATTCCTTCAATATAGAAAACCAATCCAATTGATTGAACTTTCCGTTAATTCGGTCAATTAATTCTGATTGAAGAAACGTTTCCTTCAATACAGAGAATTATTCCGAATTAACTTCACTTACCTTTTCTAAGGACTTTCCTTTAGTTTTTACAAACTATTCACATTTCTCAACAATGACACCTATTAACCTTTGGAAGTGCCACCTGTCGTCCCTGATGGTTTCTTTCGGCTGTTTTATCATTTATTTTATTTTATCTATTCAACTAGCTTTTTACCCGACCCGTTGGTCGGATGAATTTAGTTTTATTTATTATATTTTTATATTAATCTATTTTTTCATATTTTCAAATAATTTGGGATCGTCTAAATAATTTATTAGTGGGTTGAAACTAATATTTGTGCGAATTATTGATTGTAACATTAGTTAGTTTATAAGTATTTGTATTGATCATGCTATCGCTTACTGTTGTCTATATATTTTTTACATCTAAGAAAAAAATCACTTCCTATTGTTAGAATAAATTACTTAAAAAATATTTCTTCATAAAATTTGATATTATTCACTTATTTTTCTATTATATCCATGAAAATAAAATAATTAAGCATTGAAGTATTAATTATAAACTCCAAGAGATTTTCCCTATTAGTAATTTGGAGGGATAAAAATTTATCAAATAAAGGATTCAAATTTTATGGTCGACAACCATTAGGTACTAATTGAGAAAATACAAAATTATTAACTAATAATTCACTTTTAAATAATATATATCTCCAAAAGCAGTTGTGGTTGTTAATAGCTAACATTAATGTATACGGATAGTACAATTGTATTATAATGGACATATATGAAATATTCCAATTATTTCTTCAAAATTTTAATTAAATAAGGCACTCTATAGTTCAAACATACAATCATTTGTTGTGAAAATTAAGTTTCTGAAAAAGATTCATGATTTTCGAAAATCAATATGGATTTTTTATAATTTATTTTGGTGTTGCCTTTGATATCTAAAAGTCAACACTTATAGATTTGTCTACTATGTCATTTGATAGATTCTAAAAATTTATAACAAATATGTACCACCAACAAATAAAAACTTTTTTGTCAAAAATTTGTGTGCCCATAAATTTGTTCTTAGCTTTGTGCTCGGCTTTTAGCTCGATAGTATAACATATGCTAAATTTACGACAGTCCTTCTGTCTGCCACCTATTTCATAGCATATTAGGTTTCGAGTATCCACAAATATTAGTACGCTTTCAACAATTATGTTTATAGTTACACGTATACTAACATTATGAAGTGAAAATTTACAACAATAAATAACTATAATAAAGAAAATTAATTAAAAAGAATACCATCCGTAAAGCTCAAGAATTATTAGTGAATTAGTTGGTAATCTATTATCCTCTTGCAAAAAAATGGACAATTACATTATGCTCATCGCTATTTTTGGAAGGTCAGATGATCAACAATAAAAGTCGGGGAATTTCAAGAAGATTCCCAAAGATGTTTCCCTCCCTCCAGGCAAATGATCGACTTTGCTTTTGCTAGTAGAGAATGGAGATGTTATACCTGCATAAAACAATGTCTCTTGAAATAGTGTTTATTTTCAACAACTTGCACAATTCCAAATTGATTCATAGGTCAACGCGATCACATATTTTATTGACTTATCTGTTGATCATTATAATTAGAAGCAACAAATAAAATGAAAAGCATAGTGATAAAGATGACTATTAATACCATAGCCCGATAGACGCATCCCTCTTCGCTACTTTCTGTTGGCAACTACGGAAAAATAGAAACCTCTGGGCCTTCGATAGACTATTGGCGCCGGCAACCCAGTTAGCCTACCAAATCCGGCAAATGCGAGTGCAGATTGATCAATCTTCCAGGAGGATTGGGCAGGTTCTCGGGGAGGCTACAGAGCGGGTGGAAAGGGGAAATAGAATAGGGTTTGGGATTTTCACAAAAAGGCTACAATTTCCCCTTTATTAGTTGTTCTGGGCGTCGCCCACCAAAGTGAAAACGCGTCTCCGAGTGCCCAGGTGCCTAGATCAATCACCCGGAGCTAGACTGGGCGATTTCCTCCTGCCCAGCTATTAATCGCGCCTAGGCGAGAGATTAATCGCGTCTTCTTGAACACTGAATAAAAGTGGACCAAACAAAGACATTACATCCAACTCATTTCAGTTCCATCTTAACACAGTATCGGAGGCATGTACTATTATTATACAAATGATCTTACGCTCTCAATTAGGAACTAAACGAAGGTTAAATGCTTGATTGGCAAACTAAATCGATGAACCTAGTGATCTTAAAGAAAAAATTAATGATCACATGATTTCTTGGACCAAACTACTAAAGAAAAAAAAAAGAAAAAAGAGACCGTACATTAGCATAAGAACTCAACAAATTACTTATAAGAACTAATGACATAAGGAAAATGTAAACTCAAACCGTTCTTCCAAAGGTCATGGATTAAATCATTAGTTGTCGATTACATAGCCTAAACTGCAAGTTATATCCAAAATAGAGGCAATTTAGAAACAAAAAAGTTAGATAAGAAAGCCGTGAAACACAGAAAAATTGAGTGAACAAAGTGGGAAGTATTGCTTTCAATTAAGCTTGATTATGTTGACATAAAGCAGGCACACATTGACGTTGGAAACCTAAACAAAAAGCTTAAAAAGTGGCAAGAGAATTCTTCCCTTGAGGTTCAAATATAGCCTACCTATATGAGTAGAGCCAAGTAATTACCATGATTCCATTTTACACATACCATCTCACAACCAACTGCTGCTAATGCTCTGGTCCGTTCCAAACCTCACCTGCTCATATCTCCAATACCATATCACGAAACCAAGAATTATACACAACTAAAAGATCCAATAAGGAGAGTAACTTAGCATGGAACTTTGTGATGGGGGCAAATTCTATGGTCAGTATTAAGCTGTGCAAATTATATCACCTCTGCAAAGCTCACTACTTCCAGTAGTTTCTCACAGAACCAGCTACCGTCCTAATTCCTTCCTTCCTTCCTTCCCAGGGTCAGAGTGTGAAAAATGGCGTCCATCTCCGCCAAAACCACAGCTTCTTCCTTCATCCATGCATCTCTCCGTCGCAACCCCTCTCTAGGGGTTTCCTCCGCCCCAGTTCTCGGTGAGTACTCTTGACGCCCCCTCCCCTGAAATTCACAATTACCTCTGGCTTTTATCAATTCAGCTTGGGGGAACCAAGAAATTGAATCGATTGGGTGATATGCAGGGCTGCCGTCGATGGCGAAGAGAGGGAGAGTGGTGAAGTGCTCGGCGGAAGGAAACGGAAAAAAACGGCAGCGGGTGGGAGAAGAAGGGGATGATGAGCGCTTCGCTGATGGCGGCGGTGGCCGCAGCAGCTGCGTCGAGCCCAGCGGCGATGGCTCCTCAACGGATGCGAGTAGCTGGAGCGATTTGTAGCGACATTCTAGAGGCTGAAGCAGAGAAGAAAGAAGAAGCAGGGTTCGTGGCGGCGGGGGAGACGGTGGTGGCGGCGGCAGTAGTTGTGCTTCTCGCCGGAAGGGAAAGCCTCGATCGTCGACAACCTCTTCGCCACGGAGATAGTTCGCTGCACTCCCAAACACGATCTCCTCAGTCGCAGCAGAAGCGGGCCGTCACTGCTTTCCGCCACTGACCACCAAAACGTCTGATCGTCTTCCCATGAACTCAGCAGCAGCCGGTCGTCAGCGCCTTCCTCCGCTGAACACGAAACCGTGACGCCCTCTTACCAGAATTTTCCGATGGAAACTGATTCTCCTCCTGTCCTGCGGGTAGGCGAAAGAATAACGTGGGAACCCAGTAGAAAAGGTGGTATTTCAGCCAAACGAAAATTAAATGAAAAATAAATAATAACTAAATGATAACGTGGGAAACCAGGAGAAAAAGGTGGGTAGTGGACGATTCTTAGTTCTGCAATCTGGCGGGGAGTTATATTTTTTTCCCGCTCAACACCCTGCCACATCAGCTTCCTAAAATCACTCTATGGACAGGAAAATTTGAATGGGGGTGGCGGTTTTACTTTTCAGCTATAAATTATACTGTTGATTGCACACCGTATATTGCAACAACTTCTAGGCGTTTATAAGTTGCTTCCCTACATATAAAATACTTACAATCAACATGGATAACCAAAGAATTGTGCATGATTCTGACAATTGAAACATAATTATCTAATCCTCATACCACAAAATTGTCACAGTCATGCCTCATCCGAATCTTAGTTTCTAACAACTCAAATTATTTATGAATCGTAGGTTTTCAAAGGAATTATTTCAATTGATTATTTTGACATTTTTACTATCACCATCACAAAAAAAAAATCGCATATTTAATTATGCTAATTTATCAAATATCCGTCAAAACATTTAGATTTAAAATGATGGCAAAACCTTTATTCCGAAATAAAAAGTAAATATAAGGATAATTCTCAAGGAACCAAACTATTTATTTTAAACCAAAATATTGAAATGTGCAATATTTCATAAATTAATACAATTCATTTGTGTGAAAAATTTAGAAACTGGAGCTCACTTCAAATATTTTCCTATCACCATCACAAAAAAAAATCGAATATTTAATTATGCTTGTTGGGGGTGCTGCTAAGGGGCTCCCCGCAGAGACTAAGGAATACCGCGTCCAATTGACAACGTATGACGCTCTAAACCCGCTACGAGTATATAAAGGTATGAAACCCACCAAGGAAGGGGGTCTTCTCCTCTCTCCTCACTTTACACTTTCTACTATCTCTCTACACTTCATCTCTCTATCTACTCTCTCAACTCTCTCCATAAACCGACAGCTGACTTGCTCGTCGGAGCTTGATCCGGGGGGCAACCCCGGCTCTTTCGCAGGTTCTCTCCCTCCCGACGAGATCGGACGAACGGACGACGAGTCAACCCACACCAACAAATATCATTGTTCGATCCGGAGCTAGCTGGGTCAAACAATTGGCGCCCACCGTGGGGCCTGATTCCGACATCTGTTCGTTCGATTTTGAAGGGAGAATGGAAATTGGCCGCCTCTGAACACCACTCGACAGTGGCTGCAGGAAGAAGAAAAAGAAAAAAATGGCGGAGGCCAAGTCGGAAACCCAAATCTCCATCCAAGTCTTTGACTTTTGGGTAGGGAAACGACTCTCCCTCAAGCCAACTGCAAGCATCGTCAACCGCCAGTTAAAGTCGATCTCGAACACCAAATCCACTCGTCTCCGGTTGGATAGCACGCAAATCGAGGAAAAGAAAAGCTCAGATCCCGGTGACTTTTACTTGTCGCCGACTAAAGGGGCGCCGGGGCTCGAACGGAGCAATTAAGAAGAGGAAGATCGGAAGTCCGACTTCATCGACGATTCCATCCACAACTGCAAGCTGAAACCATTCCGACGATCGAGAAGCAAAGAGGTTAAAGTGAAATAAAAACCAGATCTACCTTTCTACAGTCTTCGCTCATCTTTCCCCTGTTACATGCCCAACTCGATCTGCAAGCCAAAACAGAGAAGAAAATTAAATCTGCTCTAAGTCAGAAGAAGATGAGATCTTGGCCGGCGTAGATGTAACCGGCGGCAAACCTCTGATAGAAATACCTCCGCTGTCGCCAACAGTACACCAACATTGTTGCCGCGAACCCAACCCGATCCTACATCACCATCCTGCCGCGAGCTCTGTTCCACGAACACCGACACTCTCCGTCGATGGAAGCGGCCTCCTCCTGAGCTCCCCTCGTCAGCGCGGTGCACTTCTCAGCCGCCAATCACAAAACCCAGATCCGGAGCACCACGGAGAGAATAGCCGCGCGACAACAACAACGGCCGCCCGACAACAAACCCTCCCCGGACTGCTTCCAACTTCTCGGCGCGCTCCGCTCTCTCCGCCCCTATCCTGCTTTCATTGACAGATGCCGCCTAACCACACCTTCGTCAGCGTGCCTTCTTCCTAAGGAAAACGCTCCGCTCGTTCTCTCTGCGCAGTTGGCCGCCCGTCAACTCGGCGCTTGAAAAAAAAAAAAAAAAAAAAAAAAAAGGAGAGAGGAAAGAATGCCGCTCCCCCTTCAGAGTTTGCCCGTCCCGCTCTCTCCTTTGGGGCCACCGCCCTAGCCCGCGGCATAGCAGCGCTGCGCCACATGGGCCTGCCAACAGTTTCGGCCCATGGAGCCCGAACGCGATCCTCCTCTACAGGCCCGCTTCGACTTCTGCTTGACTCGCGCCAGACAGCAAAGCCCGACGACTATTGCGCTGAGCTCATACGAAAAAAATGCTGCTGCCGCCACTACTCGAACCCGAGTCATTTCTCCACAAGGCGGGCAAGTCAACCAGCCAACTAAAGGAAGTTAGCGCTACTAAAGCGCGGCAACTATTGCCTATTCACTTACTCGCGGCCTAATTCACTCTGACTAGCCAAGAGCGGATCCAAGCCCGCGTCGCACCTGACTCAACTCGCGGCCCACTTGTGCAGCTGCAACTCACGGCCCACAAGATGCACTCGGCCCGCCAGTAAAGCTGTAGAGTGCAAAGCATAACAAAAGTGATGCGCTGGAGAGGGGATTCGAACTCGCGCCACCACGTCAACATTCAAGCAGGCTAACCACTGCACCAGAAGAATTATATGTCAACTAATGCGCGCCGCTATTATTTGAAGTATGCACGGCCACTAGTCCCTGCCCAACGCGCGGCTCATCCAGCTCCAACTTGGACTCGCGTCACCTGACCCAGCCCAACTTTAACTCGCGGCCCGACTTCAATGTCCGCTCGGGTTTGACGGGCGTCACATTGGCCAACAAATCCAAACTCGCGGCCCGCGCCGCACCAGGCCCAAGTCGCGGTCGCGCGGCCCAAGTCGCGCCCCGCATCCAACAGGCGCCACATCAAAAAAATTATTGTCGCCGCCAGCCTTCGAGCCCGCGCCACTCCTCCGACAGGTAAGCATCCTTACCAGCAGGCCACAAGTATCTTGTGTTTCAACGGTGCGGCGCCTGAATTTTAACATTCGCGCAATAAACAAAAGGACATGGTTCGAAAGAACAAAACTTAGCAATAGTCCAGCACTATTCGCGCCCAGTTCGAAAGAACAAAAAATCAGCAATAGTCCAGCACTATTCGCGCAAAAAAAAGGACATGGTTCGAAAGAACAAAACTTAGCAATAGTCCAGCACTATTCGCGCCCAGTTCGAAAGAACAAAAATTAGCAATAGTCCAGCACTATTCGCGCAAAAAAAAAAAAAAAAAAAGGACATGGTTCGAAAGAACAAAACTTAGCAATAGTCCAGCACTATTCGCGCCCAGTTCGAAAGAACAACCTGCAGGCTACCACTCAGGTTCTGTTTCAATGGCGCAGCGCCTGCCTTTCAACTACTCCTGCCGCCACTGCCAATATAAAGCTAAGTACTCTATCCCTCCATCATTATTAAATTTTCAAAATATTTTTACTATCCTAAGCGTTGATGGCGCTAATGGGGGGCAAGACGCAAAAAGCTGTCACCGCGTCACTCAAACGCGCCACCAGCTGGGGGGCAACTGGGGTACATAGGCCCCACCCAAAATTACCGACAAAGATTTAAAAAAATAAAACATAAGCTAGTGATGAGTTAAAACTCACCACCAGCTTGGGGGGCAATTGTTGGGGGTGCTGCTAAGGGGCTCCCCGCAGAGACTAAGGAATACCGCGTCCAATTGACAACGTATGACGCTCTAAACCCGCTACGAGTATATAAAGGTATGAAACCCACCAAGGAAGGGGGTCTTCTCCTCTCTCCTCACTTTACACTTTCTACTATCTCTCTACACTTCATCTCTCTATCTACTCTCTCAACTCTCTCCATAAACCGACAGCTGACTTGCTCGTCGGAGCTTGATCCGGGGGGCAACCCCGGCTCTTTCGCAGGTTCTCTCCCTCCCGACGAGATCGGACGAACGGACGACGAGTCAACCCACACCAACAAATATCATTGTTCGATCCGGAGCTAGCTGGGTCAAACAATGCTAATTTATCAAACATTCGTCAAAACATTTAGATTTAAAATGATGGCAAAACCTTTATTCCGAAATAAAAAGTAAATATAAGGATAATTCTCAAGGAACCAAACTATTTATTTTAAACCAAAATATTGAAATGTGCAATATTTCATAAATTAATACAATTCATTTGTGTGAAAAATTTAGAAACTGGAGCTCACTTCAAATATTTTCCTATCACCGTCACAAAAAAAAAATCGCATATATAATTATGCTAATTTATCAAACATCCGTCAAAACATTTAGATTTAAAATGATGGCAAAACCTTTATTCTTAAATAAAAAGTAAATATAAGGATAATTCTCAAGGAACCAAACTATTAATTTTAAACCAAAATTCTGAAATGTGCAATATTTCATAAATTAATACAATTCATTTGTGTGAAAAATTTAGAAACTGGAGCTCACTTCAAATATTTTCCTTTAAAGATCAATGGAGAGACATAGTGATTGTTGACCACTAAATCTCTTAGTTAATTAGGAAAGTCAAAATTTAGAATACAAATGGCATTTCAAAAATTGAGGATACAATGGAAACAAAATGTAAACTATGGACTCTTTCTAGTATTAGATGATCTTATTTGAATTATTGAAATACATCAAATAAAGAAACAGATGATGAATCCTTTAAAAAAATCTCAAAGAACTCTGACAGGATGAAGTGATATCTGTTTTCCAAGAACATTTACAAAATCATAGTAAAAAAGTACTGATTTTAACATTCGAAATTATTCTACAATAAAATAAATCAATTTAACTTAATTAAATTTAATATAATTCAATTAGATATTCAACACATCCGCTGCAAAAAGCAAGCCAATTATCTAGTTGTAGTTAAAATCTACACTTTAAAATTTAAAATCTTATGTTTTTATACTTTTAGATCATCAAAACGCTTCTATTTAGAATCATGATTTTGACTACACTGCTCAATTAAATCTAGAAGGCAAAGATAAATTACTAACAAACAATGTTCAATTTTATTCCATATTGGGCAAACTTCGATGACCAAATTCTAACGTAGCGAAATAAAGAACGCCAACAGGCAACAATTTCTCGTTGGGTCTCTCTTATCTGTCTGTCACATAAGGAAAGAACCAGCCATTTTCAGCCCTTGTGGCTTAACTACAAAAATCATGGAATCAAGCACACCATCCTCCGACTGTGCGACTCCTATAAATACAGCTTTATTCAAACACCGGTGGTGCCTCTACGACTCCGCGGAGAAGGGAAAGAATAAACTAGGCACCAAATTGCTATACAACGAACAAATGGTGGGGGAGATAAAATCATTGTTTTACCTGGCTGTCATTTTTCACCAGGCCTAGTATTTAGATAAACCTGGATATGGTTCTAGAGGTCCAGAATGGAAGTTCCAAGCTAAAGATTAGATGAAGTCGGGCTGCCCTGTGGAGGTCAAACAACGATGCCACATGCGGCTGTTGGGATCTACGGGTCTCGGGTAAGCGATGACTTCAGGAATCGGGAAGTAGACGTAATGGGTGTTGCATATCCCCACTGTGATCCCGCTGTATCCTGCAAATGCGCCATGGACCTGCCACAGAAGAACAGTGCATCTAAGAGATCAAGTGGAAGCGACGAGGAGTGCTGATTGCAGTTGTTTCAGCCCTGGCACAGGTATTTCTTGGGCTGCCATTGCTCTTCTTTGCAGTGTGTTGCAGCTAATTACTAATTAGTCAGTCGCAAGCAAAATTAAATGTGATTGTGGTCAATGTGAGATAACATTCAATTGTTGGACATCTTCAACAATTAATGATAAGGATTGGAAATACTTTCAGGGGGGAAAGGGGAATCAGGGGAAAGCTTACAGCATTTTGTCCAAGAACAGCGCATAGAATCCCATCTGACGCATTTGCACGGCATGCACGAATCATATATGTTGGATCGATGTACTTGACATCAGCATGGACGCCAATCTCCCGAAAGTACTTCTTCGTCTGAAACAGCAGTAAGGAAGTAAGGTAAGACCAGTTTCTTCGTGCATGTTTAACTCTAGAAAATCTCTCCTGAAATTAAGCCAATGCATGCTTAAGGCAAGAAAAAAACTTATAACAACTGACCTCTTGTTGGATATGTACGCCAATGTCACCAAGTACCATGTTTCCAGATGCATCCGTGGCGTTGGTTTTCTGAAGCAAGTTCTGGATAAAGCGGCAACCAAAAGTATAGTCAAAGCGAAGGAAATAGCTGGCTAAGGTATTCTTGCTAAGAAATCCTCACTTAAACTCTCTCTGTTCCCAAGAACATCACATGCGCGAACTGAAGTTTGTACAAAACAACTGTGCAACAAGACCTATTAAGCATCTCTTTACAACTGTAAATAGCCCTTCCGCCATTAGACAGACAAAAAAGGGCAGATCGAAATGGCAAGGTAACTGACACAGAAAGCTCCTGAAATAGACTGCTCAGGGCATTGAAACCTCTAGAAGGCACACAGAAATTTGTAGTAAGAATCACCTGTCCAGCTCCTTCGGCCACACAGACCACAGCGGATCCCTTTGTCTCAATCAAGTATTTGAGATGCGTCAAGACACCATGAGGTCCATGTAATTGAAACGGTACCTTTTTGCAAGACCACATATCAGTTAAATTTATGCACACACAAGGTAGATATGGCTATAGACTTGTGACAAGAGGCACATACCTCTGGGATCAAGCAAATATCAATCTGTCCACTAGCAAGGGATGCATGCATGGCTATAAAACCACTGTGACGTCCCATTAATTTCACGATTCCAACTCCATGATAGGCACTGTGAGCCTGGAGTGAATGACGATGCAAGAAGATATGTATAATGTCAGACAGAGGAGCCCGTAAGGAAAAGGCAGAGCATTAAAGTTTAACCTACCAGAAAAGCGAGAAGCAGAAATGAATAGACTGAGTTTGATTACCTCAATATAAGCAGAATTTATTGCTCTTTGTGCTTCTTCTACAGCAGTATCGAAACCGAAAGTTTTATCCATCAATAAAATGTCATTATCTATGGTCTTTGGTACCCCAACTACAGCTACCTTCAGCTTTCTTTTACGGCACTGAAAACAGGAATTTAGAAGTTATAAATTATAATACTTTGGAGCTTGTACCAGGAAGAAAGTTAGAAATACCGAAATGCCATGCTATCAATTTTAGTAACAGGCACCTATTAAGATTACTTCAATGTTCTGATCTGCCTGGGAATAATACGCTGGAGCTTGTAAAAGGAAGAAAGCTAGAAGTACCAAATTGCAGTTCTAAGATGACCACTTCTAATATCAGACACCCATTACAATTACTTCAATGTTCTGAGTTTAAGTCTGCCTGAGAATATAATGTCATAGGAAAATCAGAACCAATACATATAGTTCAGATGCACTAGTTTACATCTTAAATTCAATTACATTTTCTAGCAATTGTGGAAAACGTCTGTTCCTGGTACTTAGACTAGATATCTATTGGCCAACCTTTTATGCTCGATCCCAGGTACCATTATGGCATAACAGTTCCTCAAGAGTATCCTTCTATAAGAGGATTCAGAAAGGAGAAGCTAGGTTGAACTAGCTCGTAAGCCATATAACCAGCACTCAACTAAAACAGATAAAAAGATATAGTAGTGCAGGAAATCAATAAGATGTAAGCTTATAAACCTCTTCGTGTATGGCGTTCGCCCCAGCATGTGTACCATTCCCACCTAGTACAAAAATCATGTTGATTCCCTTTTCCTAATAGCATCAAGGCAAAGAATGTAGAATAAGGCCATGCTCAACCTTTAAAGTTAGTATTCAGATCAAGACAAAGGAACAAAATGCTTCCTAATCCAAAAATAAAGTTTACTACCTGCATCCTATCAACAATGTCGCTGACACTGGGGCCTCCACGTGAAACTCCCAACAAACTTCCACCAGAAAGATGGATATTCTGAACCACTTTCCTTGATAGCTGATAATCAAAGGAAAATATTGGGCCTGAGAATTGACAAAAAATGAAAGAGAAGCATCTCCAGATCCATTATGTACCAAGTCAAACAGCCAAAATTGCCAGAATGAAATGAAACTTACTGGCATTTCACTCAAGTCACTGTTAGAAAATCCACGATAACCAAAAGGGATCCCCACAATACTTTTGACACCATATATTTCAAGTGTGATGACAACCTGCCAAAAGTAAGCAAAAGAGTAACCAACCTTAAGTTTTTATGTATCACAATTCTTAGATGGTTTCAACAATGAGCATATGTCCCACCTGTGATAATTCTAAGACCATAAGAATAAGCATTTGCACAGTTCCTATAGAGAAGACATATCTAAATGATGCAGACCTGTCTGATGACGTCATTGAGGCCAGGACACAATCCACCACAAGTAACAATAGCAGCCTTAACTTCCTCAGGTTTGAAGTAAATCTTCTCCCGAGGTCCAGCACGGTGAACCCTAACAAGTTCAGGAATCATTGTCACTCAATTGAAAAAGAAAAGAAGACAGGGAAAGTATTAAGTATCCAACTGAGAAGAAACTAGCAAACTAACGACAATAAACTGACATTAAACCTAGGGGAGAATCGTGGTGTATCCGATTGAAAAGCCTTCTCATTCAAGCCAAATAAATGGATTCCTTAAAGACAAAACTGAAGATTCACAAGACACTTCTTATTTGAGGCAGAGAATGTCTCTCGTTTAGTATTCTTTAGAATTAATAAGCTATATCTTCTGTTGGAACATATAGTAGTAGCTGGTCCAGTTAGGAGCTTATGCATTGTCATCAACCTGCAAATACATGATGAGTAATGGAGACAAGAAGCAAAATACCATTGTTCAACCCAGGTACAGTCAGGGTCAATGCACACTGCTCCAGCTGAGTTGGGGGATGCGAAATTTATGGTCTGAAATATACGACAAAGAGAAACATCAATAAGCTACCAGAGAGGCTATTAATTTGAAAAAGATGTACACTGACAATGCTACAGTCTTTCAATAAAGATTTTGATTTCTGAGTTAGCCATTTCCGTTGATTTACATGTTCGATGTCTAATAAAAAAAGAGTGGTACCAGTTTACAAAACAGCCATCGAACAAAACAATGAAGAAGTGAACCCCAAAACTATTCAGTTTGAACCACAGAGGTGTCCATATCGTCCTCTCCTTGTTCTAATTTGCAATGCTGACTACACAAATGTATATGAGAATACCCCAAACACCACAACTTGCTTCCACAATTATGTACAGCACCTACAGTTACTAGAAAACTACAAATGTAATACGAAAACTCTCATCTCCCTAAATCCATAGCAAGGCAATTATCAAATAACATGTAGTTACAGAGAGTTCACCAATAGGCGATCAAGGGTTTAACTTTTAAGTACCTTGAGAAGGACCCGGTCGTTATTATTGATGTAACCATGCCACTCCTCATCAGAAGGATAACCGCCGGCGAAATCCTCAGACACAGGAGTCCTGTAAAATGCCGCCCAAAACAAAGTCAACCAACTATGAAGGCATCACACTGGAGCTGTTCAACAATTGAATATGCAATTCCAAGAGATGCCTAGCGGAACCAAAATATATAAAACTCGAAATCAAACAAAAGAATAGATTCTCAGCTTCACCTAACACTGGTTTCGAATCGGAAAAAATTAGCAGAAAACGAACTTACTCTACCCAAGTTTCAAGTTCGCAGCAGAATTCAAATGGAACCAGAGAAATGCGAGTAATCATGGCTGACTGCATACCTCATTCGCAGACAAAACGTTGAAGGAATCGGCTTGGCGTCGGGGAAGACATCAGTGATGTGCGGAATATTGAAACGGAGCTCAAAATCCTTCTGATACTTGATCCTCCACTCTGGATCACTGAAATCGATCACCGGAGCATTCGGCTTCTCAATCTCAGCACGAACTCGGCCCCGGCTCACAATTCTGCGGAGATTCCCGAAGGCCGAGGACGAGGAGAAACCATTGGAAAGGCGAAAACGTCGAGGAAACAGAAAATAAGAGGCGGAAGAGGAGGTGGGAGACAGGGTCCCGGGGTTAGCAATGGAAGCACGGGAGAGAGACTCCATGGGACACGGAGATCACGGCGAGTCTCCGCGCCGTCTATTTTGGTATTGTTGGTCGATCTTTGTTGACTCCGCCCGCCGGATAATGCTGCGGCTGGACGTGCAGCGGAGCGATTAAGGAGGAAATGTCCAAGTAGAACAGAGCAGAAGAGAAGAAGAGCTGAAGAAGGGAAGTTGAGGAAGGAGAGAAGGAGACGGAGAAAGGGAGGTAGATGGACGATGGTGATGGGCCTCTGAAAGGCCGTACAGTTTGGGGAGAGTTCAGACTTCAGAGTTTGTTTTCGCTTTTGAGAAATCGAAGTGTGACACCATTTCCTCGTGTCAACGAATGGTAAAGTACGAAATAAGTAAATAGTATTCAACGAAAAGGGAAATTACTAAATAACCAACAGAAACCGAAAACAAAGGTCGATACGTGTTATTCCAAATTACTACGAAATCTAATCAAAGTATTGACAATTACAAATAAAAAAAATTCAAAGTATTGATGCTCCACTTTCAAAATACAAACAACAAATATCATTCCTCCTTTCCAAATATATATGGGTGGTTGGTAAAAGGAAAAGTATGGTATACTTTTGAGTAATAAAATGATATATAAACTTGATCGGAATTTAGTATCTAGTATTATTCCCAAATTCTTATGATTAAAATTTAGGTCTTGATTCTATAAATATCATACATTAAAGATCAATTTGATTAAAAAAAATTGACGGTCATGATTCGTCGAAATATATACAATAAATTACATGCACAATCTTAGATGTTAAACTTTATGATTTAGATAACTAAGACTTAGGGTTCACTCATTACGGATTTTATTTTATAATGGATGCAAGGCACCCTAGCTTTACTCATAAAGGGTTAGTGTATAGTATCATGCCCAAAAATCCGGTTAATTCAATGTCTAGAAAGCATTTTTTTTTACTTGGATATGTCGTACCATATATTTTACCCAAGGTATGATAGAAACCACCACATATCCCGAGGATCTAGAGCACCACCCAACTAAAGCAATCTAAATGATGACTTATCAAGTTTGTAAATATTATCTTCACCAAAAGAATGGAAAGAAAACCAACGCCAGATGGCTGATGAAGGAATCCATTTCGAGTTCGTTCGTCTCCTCGTTCTTATTTTGTTTAGGGGTATTGGGAGGGTTTTTTGAGTTCTGGTAGGGAATGATGAGCTTTAATTTAGAGGTTTTTTATGTCAATAAAACTTTATATTTCTAGTCTCTTTAGGTTTCACTGTTTTTGTTTTCAAATGAAAATAATCGAGGCTAGAATTTCTAGACCAAAATTAGAGTAGTGGGTTTGGATATGTTCATATGGATCATTTTTCTAGTTGACCAAAATATTATTATCAAATAACACTGGATCTACTTTTAAATAGCATTGGCCGAATAACTCAAAGAAAAAAATTTATAAGTACTATATTAGCTCTGGACCTAGAAGAGGGCTGAGTCGTGGTCTGGAGAAGCCTCACCTAGATCCGCCACTAGAAGAAAGCTTATCACTCTCGAGCAAATGTCAATATTTCATATTGGAGGAAGTTCAATCTGCCTTCTCCTCTTTCAAGTGTCGTGCCTTTTTTCTCTTAGAGATTCAACAAAATTATCTACGTAGTAGTAGAACCAAGGTTCAAGAAGGCACTAAGCGCTAGTCAGGTGTTGGGACCCTGCATAGCTCCTACCATGCCTAAGCGTTTAAGTGAAATTAGCGAATTTAGTTGAAATAACAATTTTATAACACTATTTTTACTTTTAGTTATCTAGCCCTCAACAACAAGCAAAATATGTAATGATTTTTTAGATTGTAATGTGAAGATTGAAGAGTAGGGCAGCGGGTTGGGTCAACTAGAGCTAGAGAAAAACTGAAGAAGTCGTTTCGGGAAGATTGACCACATTTTTTCTTAATCTTTAGTTTCTTAGCACGCTTAAGCGTGTCTCACTTTGATTAATCACATCTCACACCGGTTAATGGTGTCTAGCTTTGCATAATAGTCGCATAGGCTTTATGTGCGTCAAATTGTCTACTTAGGGCATAGGCAAGTCGTTTTGATGTTGCCTAACACCTAGACGCGCATATGCGTCCCAAGATTACGCTTTCCTGAACCTTGGATAGAACAGACTCTTTCATCGATATTCGGCTTGTATAGGATCTACGACGTATTGTGTAAGTCAATCTGGTAAATGAGTCCTTGCTAATAGGAGTTGTTGCTTGCCTGGCTGGCGGGAGCCCTTGGCAGTGCCCTTCAATATATCCAAGTACAAGATTACTAGATTTGGTCAGACCCGATGGTCGGTTCATTTGAACAATTACATAAACAGCAATTACAACCGGACAAAGTACAAAATATTTTTATTTTAGTATCGTAAAAGAATCCAAATTATTTAATAACTGAAAAAAGTAAAAAGGAATATACATCAAAAAATTATCTGACATCCTAACTGATTCATCGACTAAACAAAAACTACATGCATACCCACTAATAAGTAATAACACTGCGTTCATTTACATCACCGAAACATCTATCTCTATCATAAAATAGTCTCTTCTTCTTTTCAACATGACCATTATCTTACTCTGGTAATAATTATTTATTTACTATTTTTATGTCATTAATTATTTTTTGTATATGGATTTATTTAGAAGGTTACCCATGAGCTTAATTGTGTGGATGCGTTGTTTGGTCATTTTGGGTGGCCATGATGCTTTTGATCGAATGAATGAATTTGAAGTGGAAAATAATGAAAGATCATAGATATATTATTACCTGCATGTTGTCTATGTGATATTTTTGTAAAATTTCCACAAAAGTACTCGTTGAAGTTTTCTTTAATTTTTCGAAATAGGATGCATATGCAACATATTAACACCCATTCCTAATTTTAACAACTTTACATTTTATGAAATACGCATTGGCCTAAAATTATCGAAAGAGTTAGTATTTAGGTATTAATGACTCATTATATTGAAACTCATATTTGCTTCCCCATCATGGATCTTCAATTTATTCACTTTTGCAATGTTTTTGTGGGTACTGGTGGCAGTACTTGATCTTTAACTCTAACCGGAGGAGATGGTTCAGCTCCATCACTTTTATCACAAAAGGAATGATTGTGGAGTATATTTTTTTTAACTCCTAACTAACTTATAACATACAAAAAAATACATAAATTAAAACGATAAGAATTTCATGTTAACCCAAAATCATTCACTTTCATAATTTGTAGATTTGGCAGCATCGAGTAGAGTGCAGATGAAAACAATGTCTTCTCATACAAAATTAGCGATCCAGTAATGAAAAGAGTGTTAATGACATTAACTGGTATCTATCATGCCTCGCATGCCGTAGATAACCTCCACAATTTTGGAATTGATAATATTTTAAGTGTGTCCTAGATACACATGAGAATGATAGTATTTCCACAGTCAATTTTTTTTACATTCGTGAACAAATAATATTTATTATATTCATAAAATAAAATATTTTCAATATTTAATTGATAAATCATATCCAACAAATCTACTAAAGGTTAGAACTTTAAAAATTTGTATTTAACTAAAAGGGATAATACCTTTCGACAAAAAAGGGGTTAATATATAACTTATTTTGACATGAAATTTGACATAAAACACATTTTTTTACGTAATTTTCAAACAAGGCAATTTCGTTCGAATTTTGGAAGAAATTAACAAATTTGACTCAAAATTTATGGGGATTTTTCCAGAAATAGCACCTTTTAAAAAAAATTACAAAAATAGCACCCAGCCGAAAGAATTTACACTAATAGCACCCCTTTTTAGGGACCGCACCTTAGAGGTGCGGTTTATAATCATGGACCAAAATTGCATCTTGGCCGAGCGGTTTCAGGTCTGACCTACAGAAACCGCATGGCCGAGGTGCGGTTTTGGCCTCACCTAGCAAAACTGCACCATGGAGATGCGGTTTGTTTCTCAAAATCAAAACCGCATCCCCAAGTGCGGTTTTAGTCAATTAATTTCCGACATACCATGCAGAATAACAGACGTGGGTCTGCATGGGCCTGCATGGCAGACGAAAACCGCACCTCTAAGGTGCGGTTTTCATCAGTGATTTTGCCTATAAAAGGCTTCCCGGAAAACCACTTCTCTTCACACCTCTCCTTCTCCATTTTCAATTTTCTGTTGTAGCTCTATATTTCTTTAGTAGTTTTACGATTAACGTTAACTCGTAATTTTATTTTTTATTATTTTTTATTTTTATGATATTAACTGAACTACGATTTTTTTGCATATGGCATTCCAAAAGTTCACGCTTGGCTTACGGTGGAATGGTTACACGGAAGAGACCGGAAAGGGGGTCACCTACGTCGGTGGCAATTTTCAGAAGATAAAGGTCGCTACCAGACCGATGTTTGAAGACCTCCATCAAATGTGCACTAACGTTACTTGCATGGATGGCACGAGAAGAGTTGATCGTATGGTGTACCGATATCCAAACAGAGAAAGTGGGTCGTTGTGGCATGAGGAATATCTCATAACCACTCAGGATGAGGTAGATGCCATGCTCGAATTCTTGAGGTCCAACAATCTTTCCAAAGCCGAGATGTTCGTTTACACCGAGCCGGTCGTAGGCGTTGGAGGTCATTCTGGACACGGTCAAGCATCTGGTATCCATGGTGGAGGTGAATTATATGGCGATCATCCCTACCAAAGTTACCATGATCCTCATTCCCATTTTCAGTACCAAGAGCAAGGTGAAGGTCATCATCAATCTTTCCCGTCATATGAAGAAGAAGTTCAACCGGACCTCCCCAACCAACCTCAGTACAACTTCCAATCAGGCAGCGGTAGTTTTCACAACTACCATTATGGAGCTGATGAAGGTGCCTTTCATGAGCTGGATCAGATGGAGGATGCCCTGCCAGCACCAGTCAGTGAACCCTCCGATGAAGAAGGAGAGAACAACGTCAGTGCAGACAGCTCCGACCCTCTTGAAGGTGCTGATGATTCAGGACCAGAGTCAGACTCAACTAATGATGATGAGGTGGCTCGTGACCGTGTACCAGTCCCCTACTACAATCACATTCCAGACGACAATTGGATGGTCGACAGCGACATGGAGCCACCAGAGGTCCCAATATGGGGTCCACTCACTGGGTTTATGAAGGGCCAACAATTTGGCTCGAAGAAGGAGGTGCGACACGCCATTGATACTGAAGCAATGACTCGGCATTTTGAATGGCACACAACTCA